CCCCAAAACCCCAAAACCCCAAAACCCCAAAACCCCGAAGGAAACTAAAATGGTTGAAAATAACTCTATTCAGCCGATATTAAGCATAACATGAGTTTCTATTTGTACTGAGCTCCTCCATATGGGTTCTGTGGGATGAATGATGGGTTATAAGGAGATCCAGTGGTGCCTGGGGCTCCTGGAGGTGGCATTCCTCCGCTGTTAATCTGCTCAATGATTTGGTCTTTCTCAACAGTTCTAGAAGCAACAAAATCGTTGGTGAACAAGTGGAGACTTGTAAGATAGGTATGCATTTGCTTATAGAATTTGGCTCCATTTGAAAGAAGATTCATGTTCTCATAGTATATTTTAAGCCCTTCATCAATACTCTTGAAGAATTCAACTTTATCGCTCTGAGATGCTCCTGCAATAATCTCATTGAAGCTCATCATATTGGTATCAATGAGGGATAATAACTCAGAAGATTTGATTTGCTGATCTTCGATAGCTTCTGTGTATCCATTTAATCCTTGTAAATGAGTTTCAAAAGCAGCTTCCTTAGATAAGCTTCCAGAATGAACCGCCATCAGATCTTTTCTTAAGTTTGCAGACTCCAGTCCTGCTGTCATCTGAGTCATTGAATTCTGTCTTTGCCTCTTCAATTCATTCAATTGCTCTATAGCTTGTTGAATGTTAGCAACAGCTGGTGAAGAAGCTGCTTCGCTAGCCTTAGATTTTGGCATCTTTTGAGTTAATTCATTACGTGATAATTGCAAGTTGGCCATTTTGGGCTTAATTGCAGCAATGTTTGATTCTACTGTTGAATCAGTCTCAAAAGCTTTGTCCAAGTTTCCTTTATAAGATTCAATTCTAGTCTTGATCTCTGAATTTAGTGAAGAGCTTGGTAATCTCTGCCACCTAGCCCCATAAGCTGCTCTCATGCTTGAATCTTCATTCTCTTCCTCTACAACAGCAGTTTCGCACTTAGCAACAATGTCAAAGCATGTTTGTCTATTCTGCTTAACTCCAATGAGTAAATTTTCAAGATACTGATAATTTCCTCTCTGCTGGAATTCGCTGACTCTGTTCCACAAATCATCTGGAATCTCTTCTTTGCCTGACAAAGAGTATACAGCCTGCGGGAGTCCTTGGGAGGCCAAGAATCCATCCTCATCGGCAGATAATTTTTGGAGGATTTCCAAGTTTTGATTGATAATCTTATTAGCCTCCTGCTGGAACTCTCCTTCCAATTTTCTCACCTCCATTGGTAGGAAAACTTCGAACTTTTCTGCTCCGACGAATGGTTCTTCCAATTTCTGCTCCATACTTCTGTGCATAGTGAAGTTCTTGCTCTCAATCTTGGCCAGTTCTTTAGCTGGGGTGCATCCTTCATAGTACACGTTTGAGTTGATCTTCTTGACATCTTCGTATTCATTCTCTATTTGCTCCTTTCTTTGTTTAAGAGCATCCTTGGTTCTAGCGTCATAAGTTGAGACAGATTCTAATTTGGCTAAAGCTAGAGCTAGATGGCCTTCAGCGTTACCCATTCCTCCACCACTCTCTTCAGCACTATCTTTGTATTCTCTTCCTTTGAAGTAGTGAGCAATGGCTTCATAGTAAGTAATGTAGAACTTTGTGTTGGCCAAAAATCCTCATTTTGAGAGAACCTTACTAGCCTTGCAGTAGTTGCCAGCTTCTTCGAAGAATGACTTAAGCTGGAAGGTAATTTTAGCACAGATTCCTGGCTTCATCCCAGCTGTCTCTGCCTTCTTGAAGAAGCAATACTGAGACTGGGCTAACTGAATTGTGGAGTTATATAGCAAATTCTCCACGGTGAAATCATGAGATCTATTCGATGGCTTCAAGCCTTCAACTGTCTTCTTCATATGGTCAAAGAGCCAAGCTGCTTCTTGGAATTTTTGAGAGACTGATTTAATTGAATCACCTTCTAGAGGGGTATAAACACCAATATTATTGAGCACAGCTCCTAAGTTATAGAGAACAGAGTTAAGCTCTAGCTGGAGTCCATCTTTACTAGCCTTCTTTTCTTTAGTTTGAGAGTCCTTCCATGGAAAGTTAAGTTTCACAGTGTCATCCTTTGATCCAAATGAGAATTTCTTCTCAATAAACGACATTCCGATGTAATAGTTAATGAGAATCTTTTCGTATTTCTCAAGACAAAGGACATCATCGTAAGATTCCATTCCAGCAATTTCGTTTCTGTACTCATGAAGTTCTGTGATCTGAGTTTTAATGGCTTCAAATTCTCTTGGGCCAAAGTTCCTGACTACATACTTCTCGATAGCATCAAAGAGAGGTATTTCTTCGGTCTGTCTATACAATATAGGCAACATATTCGAATCTTTATTAAAAATATTATTGTTTCCTAATAAAGCTTCAAAGGGGTTTTGGGGTTTTGGGGTTTTGGGGTTTTGGGG